GAGAAATAGGACACTCTCACTTCTGTGCCCATCTCTGTGATTGTCTCTACCTTAAACCCTCCCCTTTATAAGTGCCTATTCACAGATTCATGATCATTTCAATTGGGACTAAGTGAGTGAGTTGATAACCAGCTTTGTCGTACTGCTGATCCTGATTGTAATTGTTGTGGATTGGTTTTATTGAATAGACTGGAAGTTATCCTGGTAGGTTGTGTTTGCTAGTTGTTATGGGCCTCTGTCTCCATACCAGAGTAGTATTTTATTGCAAATTCTTATTTTGAATAAATAATCAACTCACCATGCTGCCTCCCAGCCTCTGTCTACACTCAGAGGGCCTTGACAAAAATTTCTGACACAAGGATATTTGCTCCCCTTCAAGGTTTTTATGTTCATTTTGAATCAAGATGTGTTGAATACAAACTGAGGTTCGTATTTAGTGAAAAAATGGCTTTCAAACTTTTTTTATTTATTATAAAAATTATACATATTTAAATGTTTAATTTCTTGAGTAGTCCTAGTTGGCATCACCTCCTTATAAACCCCCATTGACCCCCTTTCCAACGAGCCCATTCAGTAATCCATTCATGTCTGGATCACAGTGCCCATGTTTATTAAAAGGTCAGGAAGTGAGGCTGAAATGTGTCTATATGAAGCTCCTGTGTTGTGATGGATGTGTGTGTTTTAAAGAATTGGGTGTCTGACAGAGATGATTGAGGGCTTTTAAGCGGTAAACGTCTATTAAAGTGAACTGGGGAAGGAAAATGATTGCATAGGTAGCAATAAAAACTGATTGGATAGCAAAAAATATCCTGTCAGCAGATCAAACAATATATGCAAATTTCTAGCAGCATTTTTTATTCATTTCCTCACACATCTTTCATCTCCCTCAGACTTCAACCTTTGGGCATGTGAGGAAAAGCGTAGCTACTGTTAGACAGTGAGGAGCCAAATGCAAAGATTTGCATTGAACATAGGCAAATGCAATTGACTAGAAGAAAAAGAAAGAAATATAACAGATCTGCTGAGAGCTGGGTGTTGGCAAAGCTCCTCTAATGTGGTCATGCACGGTTTTCAGATTGTTGTAAAATAAACTCTTCCAATATTAATTGTGCAAAGACCAAAATGAAGCACTCAAGGTAATCACTCTGATCAGTTTAGGTAATGTTCACCTCGTGTTGAAAAAAGTGACTTGGATTAAATGAAGCACATCAGATGAACTGGCAATATTCATGTTACCAAAAAGTAAAAACTTGAGATTAATTATTCACCTCAGAGAGCCAGCTGTAGCAAAAAGAAGAAAAAAGAGGTGTGCACTGTGCAGGACTCCACTAATGGCTTATTTATTGCACCTTGTTGCAATAAACATTGCTTGCACCAAGGTGCAATAAAGAAACCATTAGAGGATTCCTGCAGTGAACCTTCTGATAGCTTTTTTTGTTGTTGTGTTTTTTGCTGCAGTGTATCTGTTGTGAACCTTCTGCCATTGCCTTAATTAGACTAGACCTTATATCTTGTTGCTGTTTATGTAACTAACAGGTTTCATTGTACAACAGGGGAAACCAAGGAACTAGTGAATTAATATTCCTGTTTTATCTGTGTTTTGGTGGTTCTTGACCTGTGGTAAATTAACAAACTAAACGGTCAGGTTGCACAGACTCTTCCATTTAAAAAAAACCCTCAGACTTTGTCCCATTATTCATGTTGGGTATCTGATGTTGACTAAACGCAGCTAAATCCACAGGGCGAAAACTTTAAACATGAAACCACCTTTACAGAAAGTTTGGGACATATTTTTCCTGCATAAGGTTAGGACTTTGCATGCAATCCATCCTGAGACACACTGAAGACAATCATCCTGTTGTATGCAACACCCATCAAGTAGCAGGTCTGGAGATTCTTTTAATGTTCTTGTTGTGGGGATGGTGCGTTAAGGGTGATCTTTTTACATGCTGCCTAAAATATCCTTTTTAGTCTCATCTGACTGGGGCAGCATCCTCCACACATTTGCTGATGTTTCAATAAAAAATCAGCAAAATAATGTTTTATTATTATTTTCCTGTCTCTAGCAGGACATTGCAAATATGGTCACTTTTGGATTTCTCTCTGCAATGGCTTTGGTGTTGCCAGTTTTCATTTGATGTCAGATTAATAGAATGCACAACCCAGACTCCAGTTCTACTCTGAGGAATGTGAATATAATTACAATTTTATCAGATTATAGTGTATTATTATTGTGTGCTGTGTGTGTGTATGGAAGGTGGTTAAAATATAGAAAATTATAAAAGGATTTCCTTATAATTATTATATTATAATTATATAATTATAATAATAATAATTATATAATTATAATTATTTATTCCCCTCCTCTAAACTGTATTTTTTTGATCTTCTTGAAGCTTATTGTTCAGAAATGATCTCCCAAACAGCTTTTAGAGAACCGCTTTATTGATCCTGATTGAAAATTACAGACAGGTAATAATGTTTAGATGTCATTATTCACAATAGATTTTATTTAGTAATAATGTAGAAAATTGAACACAAATGTACAGAACACTATGGAGATAATTAATTGTTGACAATATTTTAAGCCACATATCACTTTCCTTCCACTTCCTGATTATGATCTACTGTCTCTATCGCAGACATTTCCAGAAGAATACATTAAAAGTACTCTTTCACTTTTAAAAGGCATGCCAGAAGAAATTCAAAGTGATCTCCTTTTACATCTAATAATTTACAGCAAAACCCGTATTTATTTTAATCGGATTTATGTTGGGTGCAGATACTTGCCATAGTTTTAAAGTAGGGGTGTAAATCCCACCCATCATGGCGATTCGATTCAGTATTGATTTCTTGACCCAGCGATTCGATTATTTTCGATACTCAGGAATACACCATGATGCGATTCGATTAATCGATTGATTAATTAATTTTTTATTTTTTTTTAAGACCTTACAGGCTAAACAAAGTTTCAAGTTTGAAATAAATCAATGAAAGCTGTAATATCGTTATGCATTTTTTTTTTTTTTTTTTAGAAACAACAGCAAATAACAGAAGCAGAAAAGTTGCATCAAAAAATACTGCAAAAATACTGCACAAAATCAGTGCAATGAGTGCAATTCAATACCTCGGCTCCAGACGTCCCGCCCCCTCCACAGACGCTCCGCTGCACCTCTCCCAAATTGTAGCTGACCGCAAACAGTGCTACAGACAGGAGGCCGGCTTGTTTTGTTTTTATGACCGAAATTGCGGAAAACAACTCGTGAAGTTTGACCCGCTAGAAGAGCGAGGTGCGCGAGAACGCTGGGACCCTTTTTCCACCTGGCTCTCCGCTCTTTTTGGCCCTCATGTCCCTCCGTCGTCAGACTAAATTCACCCCCACTTCCTCGCCGCCTCGGCCGTATCTAGACCAACAGTGTGTAGCACAGACCACGCTTCAATATTGAGCATAAATCAAAAATGTCTGTGTCAAGTTTGCTGCAACACACTGCTGTAAGAGTATAACCAGGAAGCGAGGTAGGAGGGCAAAATAGGTTTAGCGCCACCGCAGCACGGGAGGGAGAATTACGCCCAGGAGCAAATGGATAAAAATAGACCTGAGGAAAAAAAAAAAACATGAATCGATTATCTTGCGGACGTGTCGATGCATCGGATCATCGGCTGTTGGATCGATGCATCGATACAAAATGATTATTATTTAAACCCCTATTTTAGAGTAAACTTTTATCTTTATTAATTGTATTTGAGTTTAGAAAACAGAAACAGAATGTGAATTTGAACATGCAGCTCATATGCTTAGTGTCAAAGTCGAGGGAAATCCCATTTGCACTTGAAAAAAACAATTAGGGAAAAGAGCAGGAGTGATGTAAATTTATTGAGGTCAGCTTGGTTTCATTTCACTCTGGGGAGGTTTCTGTGGAGCAAAACATGCTTTTTCCTCATTATAAAGTCCAAACATTAAAAAACAGAACATCGTGATGCTGGATCCTGCTTAAACCTGGTTGATCTAGTTGTGTAGAGTCTTTAATGTTTGTTTGTGTTAGAGAAGCTAAAAGAGCTGAGTTGCACATTGGTGGGGAAAGGCAGAGATGGAGAGGGAGGAAGGAGGAGGAGGTGGTGAGTTTGAGGCCCAGGTCAAATCCTCAAAGTGGAGAACTGTTCTAGTTAAAGATCTTTAAATAGGGTTATTCACAAGAATGCTTTACTCTCATCTGTCTCTGTTCTTGTTGAGGCGCCATGGGATAAAATGAGGGCCAAACATAGTAAGATGTTTGGTCCCAGAACTCTTGTCTCTTGTCTTTCAATGCTGAGATGCAGATTAGAACTGATTAACGTTATTCATCAGTGAATCACTGGTATGATAAACAAGGACAAAAATCATGAAAAGCGACCATCAAATATGTCATGGATATGGAAGTGATAGCATTAGGATAATGAATCCACTGTAGAAGGATCTATGCATGTGTTTAGAGGACTCATTTAACTTCCATCTGAATTCTTCGTGATTTCCCAGTACAGCTGATTACCTTCTATTCATTCGTCTATCTGGGGATGAGAATTCATTGTGGAACAATGAGCTGAGACCACAGGTCTTCAGATAGGGGAATGTCAGCTAAATGATCTCCAGTGGACAAAGGCTTAAATGGAAGCTAAATGCGACGCGAAGCACTCCTCTATCTGATGCTCATTACCCGCCTCTCCATTCCCCCGGAGACCTGGCTCAGCTTCACACTGAGCACTTTCCTGCCGGGAGGAGGGTGATTACAACATTTTGCTCGACAAAAAACCTCCCTTCCCCCTTGCATTTCCCGTTGTTTCCTGCTTTCTCCCTCATCCCTCTCTTCTCTCAGTGGTCAACCCTGTTACTGCTGTGCTTTTTTTTAGGCTCCTTCTCTCCCGCATCTTCTCAGGCACTGCAGGCGAATCCTTTGCAGGCTGATTTGCTTCTTTGTCCTGCCTGTGATTACAACACTTAAAGACAAGCGGACCAAGAATGGTTTAAGAGCATTTTTATTCGCTGACAATAGTGAACAAGGGTGAATTATGAATCATGCATCAGTGGGTAATTCACGTGAGAACAGCAACAACAACACAGAAGAGATACAGGAATCAGAAGCCATTTGAGAGTAAATCACAGGACAGGCTTGAGAACAGCAAGCAGATGGGGTTATCATTGATGTACACACAGGGTACCATCCATCTAGAGAGGAGCTGAGGCTTACGCATTTCTCTGCCAAGGCTCGATGTACTCAAGGCCCAGATGGTCAAAGATGTCCTTTTCAGTCGTTGCTGTCAGGAACTCCTTCTAGAGACAGGACAAGCAAACACTCTGTCATCGACTTCAGAAATGTGGAATCATTCCTAACTGTCATTCTGAGCTATTCTGTGAGTCCAACACAAAGTAGTACCTGATTAGTTTGCATTGTCTTATTATAAATAAAGAGTTGTGAATTGGATTGTGAATTTTTTTATCAGCTCTCTTAACCCATTTTTTCAGTTTCCACCTACCATATAGGAGTCTATAGGTGTTTGTCATATAAAAATAACTAAACATGTCACTGTCATCACACCACCTTCATGTAAGATGTTATGGTAGTATTATGTTGTAGCTTTTCCTAAACAATGCGAGAGACTGTTTAGGAAAAATAATATCACAGACTTTGCATCACACTGAAAACACCAAACCAAAACACTGCAAAATTGCAACATATATATATATATATATATATATATATATATATATATATATATATATATATATATATTTAATAGTCTGAACTTCTAATGCTTTGAACTTCCATATCAGTGCATTTTTTTGCACCACGTTTTTTTTCTCCCACAATGTTTAGATTTGATCACTGCAGTGCTTTTAGAAATGGGAATGTCATGGAAGCTGTACAAAATGAAATTTTGTTTGTATAAACTCTGTGTATATAGGTGACAATAAAAGTTGTCTAACAACATGGGTCAGGGGTTACAGCAGGGTATGGTAGATGGAGCAAAATACAAGACAGTCCTGACAGCAGACCCGTTGAAGACTGAGAGACGATGGTGGAGTTAAATCTAAAAAGACTTAGACTTTATTGTCATTTTGTATGCACAGAGTGTATACAAAAGGAAATTCATCTGCTAGAATTCCCTGTGAATCCAATAATAGTCTGAATCAAGACAAATGCTCTGCAACCTGATTAAACTGAGATATTTGGAAAAAAGTTAAAAGTAGAAAATCTCACTCTAGATATGCCAAGGTGTTAGAGACACTCAAAAATGACTCATAGCTGTTATTCAGTACAAATTTGTTTTGCAAAGTTTTAAATCTGGGAGGCTAAATACGTTTTTACTTTTTGGTCTATAAACCTGATAAATTAAAGCTTGTGGTTGTTATTTAAAGGCAATTAAAAATTCAAGGCTATGAATACTTTAAAAAGGAATAATGTGATTTATTAACAAGGGAAAACTGCATCCTTTTGATGTGCAAATGTTCCTTTTGTCTGACTTCTAGAGTACCTCTGTTTCATACCGTTGATATCACTTCTGGACTGTTCGGATCCTGGCTGCACAAATGCTCAGACATGCCAGGACTGCATGGATTTAGAATCCCACTCTCCACCAACACATAAACACTAACCTTGCTCTAAGTGATTGCTCTCTTCACCAGATGAGTATTTTCCTTGACAAATCACGGCACGGCTATCAAGTGCCGGCCGTCTACCAGCGCAATGTGATGTCTTATGTCTCTATAGGAGTGGTGACGAGGCATGACTCACCTTGGGAGTTAGGCAGCCTGAAGAGAAAGAAAGCGGCCTCTGATTGTGACACGTACTGCCTTCAAGTGCTAAACTGGACCTGACACCAGAGCTTGTCAGATCCCACTGCTAGCCAGAGGCAGAGTTAACTGAGGGAAACTAGCAGGCGGGAAAGAGAAGGGAAAACCACCACAAGGCACGTCTCCCTCCATAGTGTTTTGTTATATTTAATGCAAATGACAGGTTAGTCGAGCTGCAGGGAGGTTTGAGTGCTCACTGCAGGAAGCTCTGTTCACATCAGACCTTTTTAAATATTTTCCAGATGGAGACATTTTCTTGTTTTGTATTTTAAACTAAACTGTTTATTATAATTGGAAATGCATTGTTTACTGTTCATTCATCAGTTAATTTGTTAATAGTCTTTTGACAATTAATAAAACCATACAACAAAGATGAATAGATATATATTTTTTATTCAGATGGTGTGTTCTAAGATTATGGCCTTACAAGCTATTACATTTTCCCTAAAAATATGTACTGAACCAAATGCTTATGTTGTATCTTGCAAAGAGAAATGTATATATAATAATCCCTGGAAATCCTAACAATGTCCTACAGTACAAAGTGTGACTTTGTTCTCATTGTACTTTAGTTTCACTTTATTCAGGTTCCTGATCTTGCAATCCACTTTGCACAAATAGTCCCTCATGTACAAAAAATGTCACTGTATAAAAACATGTACAAACTCAAAAGTGTGAGAAAAGATCATCTTCTTTCCAGATAACAGAATTGTATCTGTGACTGTCAAGTCAAGCATGGAAGAAAGAAGTCAAACTGCTGGACAAATTAAGCTTAAAAGTTTAAAGTAAAGTATTTACCACTTGAAACATTATTTATCAAACCTGAAAGCAGTTGCAAGTGCAGTTATTATGCCTATATTCAGCAACTTTGAAGCTCAAGTTGAGACTTTCATACAAAAATGTCTATGGTTGCTGTAGAAGGCTTACAAATGATAGACATGACTGATTTTGTCCCGCTTTAGTCCAATAATGGAAGCTCAAAAGATGTTGCAAACCCAATTTTCAAAGTCTCTTCAATGATCTGAAAATAACGCCTTTTCACTTTTCACCTAAATGTAGATGTTGTTTGGATGTAAATCATGTCATCGTTACAATGTGTTTTCAACCAATTTTCGCTCAGTGGGGAGGTATTTGTGCAAACCTGTGGGGGACGTGGGTGTTTTAACACCCACAATTTCGCTTGTAAGGTGATTAAACAACAATGTTTCTTCATGGTGTCTTCACTCTATGCTGCACCTCCATCCAAAGGTCTATATGTTATGCCACTGAGTGGTGTGTGGATCTTGGAGGTATGTCTTCATGCTTTCCTCATCTCTGCAGGGTGTGATTGGGCAGGTGATACTCCACAGGTGTTTCCCATCTAGCCTTCATCAGCAAGGCTTCTTAAAGAGCTAGAGCCAGGAGATAATAAGCAACTCCTGTGTGGTAATCTGACCTAATCTATGTGTTATCCTTGTGTCTCTCAGTGAACTCTTGTTCTTATCTGACCTCTCTCCTGTGTCCTCAGATGCCTGGTAGCTGCTTTGGAGTCATTGCAATCCAGAGTTTCGTGCTATGAAGCTTTCCATGTTTGCTTTGTGGTAGCCTTCCTCCAACCTCCAAGTATCTGGTCCAGCCGTGTCCCCAATGGTGCCTTGCGAAGTATTGAGTAGGGGCCCTTTACTAGGGTCCATTCGGTCTCTGTACATGTGGAGCAGGTGTTTGGTCTGCATTGCCGGCATTAAGTCGGACTTGCTCCCAGTGCATGTTGGAATCCGACAGGGCTGCCCTCTGTCACCAGTCCTGTTCATAACCTTTATGAACAGGATTTCTAGATACAGGCACGGGCCGGGGGGGGTGCTTTGAGGACCAGCAGATTTCTTCCCTACTTTTTCGCGGATGATGTGGTTCTGCTGGCTTCCTCCTGCCGAGACCAACAGCTTGCACTCAGTGGTTCACAGCGAAGCAGCCAGGTTGACAATCAGCTCCTCCAAGTCCGAGGTCCTTCTTGACAGCAAAAAGGTGGCCTGCCACCTTCAGGTTGGAGGAGAGTTCCTGCCCCAAATTGCAGAGTTCATATCTTGGGGTTCTGTTCACCAGTGAGGGGAGAATGGAGTGGGGAGATTGATAGACAGAGTTGGTGCCCCAGTCTGTCGTGGTTAAGTGAGATTGGAGCAAAACTTCCCTTTAACTATGGTCATGAAATCTGGATCATGACCAAAAGCATGAGATTGTGGATACAAGCAATCAAAAAGTGAGCTTTCTCCACAGGATGGCTGAGCAGTCTCTTAGAGATAGGGTAAGGGTGAGAAAGGCTCAGGGTGGCTTTGACATCTTTTTCTGATGTCCCCTGGACAGGCACGTCCTCCTGGGAGTAGGTCAAGGGGAAGACCCAGGACACACTGGAGGGATTATTCTCTCAGCTGGCCTGGAAGTGCCTTGAGCTTCCAGACGCATCACTGCAAAAAATCTAAATCTATATAAGTAATTTTTTCTTAAAATAAGGGCATTTGTTCTTGAATTGAGGAGGTAAGAGAGACATTTTGCCAATGGAACAAGACAGTTTACACTTAAAATAAGAAAACACAATTGCATTGTCTTATTTCAAGTGCATATTATCTAATTATCTTATTTTAAGAGTAAAATTACTCATTCCATTGGCAAACTATCTCATTTACCTACTCAAATTAAGAGTGAATACACTTAATTTAAGAATATTTTACTTATTTCTAGATTGTTTTTGCAGCGATAGCTTGAGGAAATGTCAGCGGAAACGGAAATCTCTGTTGAGACTGATGCCCCCAGGACCCGTTCCCGGAAAAATGGGAAGACGACGAATACGAGAATCTAAATTGAGCGTCAAGACCTGCAGCGTGAACATGGCCTTAGCAAATCTAGGCCATAGTTTAGTTTAAAAAAGGCCTAGAAATAAACCTTTTGAGATCTATTAACCAAGGTCATTTTGTAATGAACTAATGAAAAACTAGCAAAAGAAAAAATATTACCAGAAATGAAAATAAAACTTGATGTTGCCAGAGAACCCAAAATCTTACCGAGTTTATAAAACAAACTAAACAACTGCCCAGGAAGAGCACAAGTTGTAGCTATATCCTATAACTAGATGAATTCAGTGTGCAGGCTGTGCCCATAAAAAAAGGCCTAGAAATAAACCTTTTGAGATCTATTAACCAAGGTCATTTTGTAATGAACTAATGAAAAACTAGCAAAAGAAAAAATATTACCAGAAATGAAAATAAAACTTGATGTTGCCAGAGAACCCAAAATCTTACCGAGTTTATAAAACAAACTAAACAACTGCCCAGGAAGAGCACAAGTTGTAGCTATATCCTATAACTAGATGAATTCAGTGTGCAGGCTGTGCCCATAAAAAAACTTGCCAACTTTTTTTTCTCAGTGGAAACAGCTTTTGGTCAAAGTGGAGTGATGGTGCAGGGTGGCATACATATTGCTGAAAAAAAAAATTGATATGTGATTATGGA